GTGGTGTTGATTCTTCACAGCCTGTGCATTCTGTGAGCCAGAGTGTTCTGTTCACCAAGCCTGGGACTGCAACATCTGTTTCCTCTCCTGTGATCTCATCAGTAAAAACACCTGCTCCAAGCCTTTCTTCACAGCCACAGTCTTCACCTTCTGTTACACAGTCACCAGAGCCGGCCCTTCAGGAAGGTACTAAAAGGGAATGGGAAGTTACAGTACAGATTCCTGCCCTGTTCCACATCCACACCTTGGAACCTTTATTTGCTGCTCTTCTGTGCTTGTCTGACTGGAGTACACCTTTTGCATCTCTTCAGGCTCCCTTAGAGTTCTTGTTTTATACCACCATGGTTCTAGTTTCTCTTAGCTTTTCTGTTTGATTTCATTTGGCCATATGTCCTCTTTGGCTTGTTTGTCATGTTGGTCTTATATGTCTCTTCCTCAAAACCTCTTCTTTTAGTTCCCTTATTTTTCTAAAAAGCTGCTTACTGTTTTAATTTCTTGGAAGAAAGTTTTAAAAGTAACAAAATAATCGAGTCTTCAGCCATGCGAATTCTGCCCTTATGTTTTAAGTTGTCTCTTGACTGTTACACATTTCTGTATCTAGTATTCCATATCTAATGTACTGTGCTGGTTTGTTTTTTGGGGGGGTTGGGAGGCTGTGTTTTCTCTTGGTTATTTCAGAATTTTAAATTCTTACGGAAAAAGAACTCAGTGTATGATGAAGTAGGCATTAATTTTGTCAAGAACAATTGGATACGTTTAGTGTTCAAAAATAATTCTCAAAAGCATGGTGGGTGTCTGTTACAGCATGTTTTTTACTCTTAAATTTCAAAACCATCTGATATAAATGTTTAAATTTCCTCCTTTTCCTGGTGGAGTGGAGAATGTAAAGAAATAGCTTGTCTGTGAATCAGTTCTGTACAAGCAGAATCAGTACAAGCAAAAAGTTTTTCATTGCTGTAAAGACTCAGTGTAAAGTACAGTGTAACATTTTAAGGAAAATGATAAATCAGTTTTTGGAACCGTGCTTGGCTCTTGCACAGTTTTAGTTGATTTTGGTATGAGGTAGAATTTGTACAGTAGATGTGCTTGCTAGGACAAACTGTTGGTTTATCTTCCAACGAAATCACATAACCATATTTCTAATGAGAAAAAGTATTTTAACTGTTTAACTGTGCTTGCCTTGATGTGCAGTACATATGTTCTTGCAGTGATTCCTGTATAATGTGTGAATATTTGGTACATCAAATACAAATTACTCTAGTCACTACCGAACTTCACTGAATTCAAATACTTCCATATAAGTGAATAATAATGCATTATGTGTATGAACACTCTTTAAAACCAGCTACATACCTGTGTGAGGAACATAAAGATAAGTTGTCAGGAGTTTGCATTGATCTAGTTATATGTAAATTAATATAATTGATAATAAATCCGTGTACGTGATATCACACACTTATTTTTAGGTGATATTTTTAGCAGCTAAATTAGAAGGTGATAAAAAAAGCATTAGAAGCATTAGAAGACTTCAGACTTTTAATTTAGTTTCATTTGAGGAGTCTCAAATACATAATGTACTCTTGCAATACCCTTTTATCAACAATTAAGTGTGATTATTTGTAGAAATTAACCTACTGAAAAAGTAGAACACATCTACTGGATATTTGTCTGTGTTGTTAGACTTCCGAGTGTGTTTCTTATGCAGAGATTAAATAAACTGATATTTTTTTTTTTCTTATAGTGTTGCCTACATGAAAGCATTCTGGAAAACCAGTTTGAATCCATTTTTAAGTGGATTTCATTGTTTTAAGCTCGTGTGTGGGCATTCCTATACACAATTAAGATATTCTAATTGTTTACTTGGCTAAGTTTTAGTAGGACAAAAAACTTAAAATATATTAAAGCCTATTTAATCTTACATAAATATCCATACAAATGTAACACAGATAAACTAATTTGCTTGAAAATGGCATCTTTGAAATGAACTTTTAGAATGTGCACCCTGTCTGGATTTTATTTGCAGACTTTCTTAGGGTTTATATTAATGAGAGGAGCAGATGAGTAAATGAAAATAAAGCAAATAGTTTTAAGAATGGAGTAGGATTCGTTTTGTAAAGACTACTGTTTGTAATATTAAAGATCTTAATACCATGGTAAATTCATGGAAATTATGTGTGTTCTGGGTAGAGAGCCAGTTAAAGATCTTCAGAATATAGTTTATTTTTGCATGTGGTTATTTAATTTTCAGTCAGGCCTCCATTATGAAATTTAAGCCACATAAAATGTATGTTTTAAGTCTTCCATGGGATGAAACATACCTAGTTTATTTCATAGGTAAATCAGTTCTTAGCCCAATTGACCCCTTTGTGTCCTCCCACCTCTATTTCTAGGGTTTGTAAAATACAGTGGGATAAAGCGTTATTATTATATTACAAGTACATTGGCAGCTGTATCTGTAAGTTTCCAGTGCAAGAAATTTGTGGCAATTTAAATATGTGGTTGCATTTTAAGCCAGACTTGTGAAGTAATCTCACTCAAATAATGATTTTAAAGCAAGCTTTTGCACTTCTAAGAGTGGGAGATTTTAACATTTTTAGTAACTCTGTATAAGATACTAAGCAGAACTGAGTTGTCACAACAGCAATCATGATTAGGCACTTGGTGGCACTTGGAACTGCTGTCTTCAGCCACCCATTTCTGGCCTTCAGTTGCTTTCTCCCCTGTGCTGGCCTACTGGTGGCATTGCTTGGCAGTGAACCAGAATGGGAGGCATCTCCAGCTGAGAATGACTTTTAGCTAGGTTATTTTTCATTCAGATCAGTTCTCAGGTTGTTTTTGTGGCCGGGCGGTTGTGCTGGCACAGCACAGGAAGATCCTAAAGGCAGAAATTTGTAGTACTGCTGGCAATGAAAATAAAAAAATCTGTGCAAACTCATAAGGATGTTACGACTCAAACCAGCCAGAGGATTCATTGGGACCTCGTCCATGACTCCTGAACTTATGTGTCACCAGCATATTTTTTAATCTTCTTGTGTATTCTTTCTAAACATGTGCATCTGTTATTTATGTGACCAGTGACTGGAAAAGTGGGAGATTTAGCAGAAGGTGTTTGAATTTTATTTTCTTTTTTTTCTTCCAAAAACCATTCCAAAGACTCCAAAGTAATATTATTAGAATAACTAATTCAGTCTTGTCCCATCTATCCATGCTTGGAATTTTTGCATTGGCATGCCCTTTGCAGGTAGATTTCTTTCTTTCTTGTCCTATTTATATACATGGTATTTGTTAGAGGTCCATCTTCGCGCTCTCTCACTGTGCCCATCTTCTTTTATTTTGGCTTTCTGTGTTTCAGTGTATTACATCTTGTCATCCTGACTTTTTTCCCCTTTTACTTGCATCTTAATTATTTTGTTTGTTTTCCTTCAGAATAAGGAGGTTCTTCTGTCTTATGCAGTTGTTCTGTCTTATTCCTTGGTAGCTCTCCCAGGCCTGAGAACAGATACAGTCTCCTCGGATGTAGTCTAGTTTTGCACAGAGAATGCTGGATTTGGGTTTGGTTTTTTTTTAATCCTTCTTATCAAGTGCATCCAAAGCCTTCATAAAACATAGGACTATAAATCACTTGAGTTAGTCCTGTGTTTTAGCAGTATAAAGATACTGAAGCATTGTACCATCTCGGTTGCAGTTGGCTTGATTTTTTTTTTTTTTTTTAATTTGTTTTGTTTTGTTTTTTTCCTTTATCATTGTGATTCCTTGTATTGTGGAGAAACTTGATTGGAATTGAATGAGTATTAATGCACTAGACAGAATGTAATCATGTCAGTCTCGCTAATTTCTGTATGAAAGTTCAGCTTCTCAAGAATGTTGCGATACGGTTTTCTTGCTTTTTTTTTTTCACTGTTTGAATAGGTATTCTTCACCTAGGTTCTGTTGTCTTTTCGTAAGTGAAATTGAAGTGGTCCTCTTGGGTTTATTTGCTAAACCTTTTTAAAAAGCCATTAAACGAACATCATTTTTAGCCAATGTTTTAAGTAAAATACAATTTGATATAATTGATGTAAGTTGTGGATGGTTATTACCATGATGGTTTCAGATTATGGATAACATAAACCCCACTTCTCTGGTGCTTTATAGTGTTAAAATAAAGTACACTAATGGTGCCAGAGTGCTCAGGGGGAAAAAAAATCTCAAGATCTCAAAAGTCTGAACAATTTTGAAGAGTTTTGAATAATTAGGATATTTTCTTGCTATAGCAATCCATTGGATTGCTAAGAGAAGCAGTGCTCACTTGTATGTATTTAAATATGACTACAGGCCTATTTAAAATCCTTGCTAACCCTGCCCCATGACAAGAGAAACTTAAGATTTCTCAGAGGTGCTGAAACTGCATCAATAATGAGTAATGTAGGAAATCAGTTCTAAGCCATTGCTGCATGCTTTACTCTGTTTTAAAATAGTATATGTATGTGTTGCTTTTGTGTATTGTTCACATATGTTTAAAGTAGATATTCTAAGAAACAAAAAAAAAAAAATAAAATTCAAAACAAAACAACCCCTTCCTCCCAAAATGAAAAAAAAAAAATAAAAATAAGAAACCAGACCAAGAAAAACCAAACCTAACCAAGGAACCAAAAAACCCCAATCCACTACCAAAAAACTTTACAGTTTATGGTTTGGCGGCAACAGTGTTAACAATTGTTGCATTGTTACCGGATCTTAAAAGTAAATAGTATATTTAGGTGCTTAAATATGGGTCTATGACACTTAATTTAGGCATTAACTTAAAAATAAGACTAACCAAGCTTTCAGATTTACCCATCTTAAATTTCACTGACTCTGTTGCAGAGGTATGTGTTTGTAGTCTCGCATATTGCAGCAGCAGTATCTTTCATTAATTTTTGACACTGTTCAGAATTCCAGCATGAATTATTCCAGTCTTAAAAGGGGCAGATGTGCTAAGCAGAAGTTCAATATTAATGTTGTCATAACACAATAAAAATTTGTCTAGGAAAGAATTCATTTATTTCTAGATATTAACTTCTGAAAGTATTTCAGTGGACAGATTGATATTAAATACATATGTAAAAAGTCTGTGTGTATTAACTTCCTGATATACATGCACATACATACACACACATAGATATATGAAGTTTCCTGCTAACTTCTGTGGTACTAATACTTTGCTAAACTAGCCCACTAAAAACTGCTTCTATTGTACTGCTAATATAGTTCATATATGAACTATAGCTCTATAGGCTAGGGCTGTAGATTTTGCATGTTGGGATTTTCTATAGAATGGCTAATTTCTCTTGCTTTTAATGCAGTGATTTGTGACTTTCATTTCTCATCTTTCCTGTCTGTCTGATTCTTATGTTTGTGCTTTCCACTTCACAGGCATGCAGTATGGTGGATATGTTAATAATCAAGCTAGCTCTGCACCAGCTCCCTTGTCATCAAGTTCAGATGATGAGGAAGAGGATGAGGAGGATGAGGAAGCAGGTTGGCTTTAGCTTTACACCAGTATCTTGTTCTCTTCCTACTCAAGCGATGTTCTGTATTTCCATCCCCTGAAACTTTTTTCCTTTAAGATAAAACATCACTCTAACTCATCATGTATCAAGTTAATTAGAAATTTTACAGCTGTTGTTAGTATAGTAACAAAAAGGAGTTCAGTAGTAGTCACCAAGTGGTTCTCTTTTCTCATATTAATATCAGATGGTTTATATATCTAACAAAGTAATAGTCACAACTTGCAAGACTCCCATATTTTTAATGTTTTGATTTGCAGTAGGTTTTAAACTCTTAACAGAAGGTAACTAGCTCTAGAGCTTAGACTGATAGTTACTTATGTTAATCAACTAGATGTAGTTTGTATTGTTAACGTGTAGTAGCGTTTACCTGTCTCTCATCTTACATATAGGGAACTCTTACAATTAAGATAGTAAAGTAAATATTGAAAGGTAATAAGTATGCTTTTTAAGACAGTAAATTAATCTGTGCTGCTTTTTTTTCCTCCTAAGGTATGTCTCTGTGGTCAAGCATGTAGGTTCAGTTTTAATCTCTTTGCTTTGTAGGGAACTTAAAAACTTTTGCTTACTTCTCTCTCTCTCTCTTCAATTTTTTTTTATTTTTTTTTTTTTTTAAGGAAGCAACTTGTCCTGGTTGATTTAAGTGTTAGGTTCATGACTGCAAGGATTCTGCCTGTATTTTGTCAGAATTTGCCTGGCTTTATGAGTTTGATGTTACTCACCACCTTAGATTCTAGGATGCTAAAAATTTCTTCTAACTTAAAGAAAAGGCTTTACAATCTATATATGCATGGTAGCACTGCAAAAAGCATCTTGAGATTGAACATTAGACTTCTCCCTGTGTTGACAGATGGAAGTAATTGCAATTGCACATGCCTTGTGCTAATATACTGTACCCATTTGTGTGTGCAGTTTGGGGATAGCAAACTTTTGTAACTTTAAGCTTATAATTCATATTGTAGCTAGGCAGAAAAAAATCAATGCCATATAATTCTGAGTTGTATTTAAGTAATTATAAAACTAAAGTACTGTGAAAATAGATTAGTGCACACGACATCATGAAAAATGGAACAAAACAGTGATGACATCCAAGTCATAACTAAGACCAGTCTGATGGGTTCATGTTATCAATTTAGGTAATATGGATTCAACTGTTATGTTGAATAATCAGAACATTAGAAGAAGATAGTTGCTATTGTTGTTTTTCCTAGGAGGAAGGCATATTCAGTCGAAGACACTTGTCATTGTTCTAGCTAGCGAAGGACAATATTTGGAGGGTGCAGCATTATCAATAGAAGTGATATTATTACCACCATTCTAGGGGAGCACAAGTATTAGGATACTTTGCATATCCTGTGTAATTCTGGCTATTTCAGATTATTGATTCAGTTTCTTCCTTACCCTTTGTGTGGTAACACAATTGATCTTTCAACGGGCTTCAGTATTAGTAATAAATTATGCATAGTAACTCTAGAATAACTCTACTTTTTAATCTAAGGATACTTTGTAATTCCTTTTTTTTTTTTTTTTTTTTTTTTCCCCCCCTAAAGCTATGAATGTAATTAGACCAACAGCTAGAAAACAATTCTACTTTGGCATATAAAGTTTGCTTTGGCTGTTGTGATACAGCTGCTATTTGAACTCTGCTTTCTAAAGAGTAGTCTAGAAAAGCCAGGAGAGCATTCTGGGTTTTTGTTTTTGTTTTTTTTTTGTTGCAGAGATACCTACTGAATTTTTTGCTTAATCCTATGACAAGGTTTCTATCAAAGGATATACCAGATATTTTTATTTTTTTTTTTTTTTTTTTAGCAATTACAACCTTTGTAGTCTTAGTTTCCTAAACCTACCAGAGACGAAGTTTTCATACTCCCTACCGTCTTTGTCTCACAAGTTTTGTACTTCGATAAAGCCTGTAACCTTTAAGCTATAATTGTATTTAAATTTATCATATGCGAAAGAGTGAAAGGACACCCAAGTTCAATATGTAGGCTACCTGATTATTAACCATCCTGTTTTCTGCCCTGTCATCTGGAGTTAATATAAATCCTAACTACGTTTTGTAGACAGGTTTCTAGCTCAGGCTTTGACACTGTTTTTATGAAGAACAGGCGTTGGACATCTGTTTGCATGTGCTTGTGTAGCTTCTCACTTTTCTGTCACTCTTTTACTATGTTGCCAAAGAGTTCTTGAAAACTCTGAAAGCAAAATTTATATTGATAAAATAACTACCTAACTGTAAAAGCATGTTCTAAGTATTATTTTTGTCTAAGCAGTGTTTTCTAATATTCTTTACAAAACATTTTTTCTGTCTTCCTAATATGTTCTCTTGTCTGGTCCTTATTATGCTAAAATAAACTTTTACAGCTGTCGTAGCTTAGCTTAAGCATAGGAAAAATGTTGTTTAATTTTGTGGAAGTTCTTGTGGTTTTTTTATTGATGGAGAATCTGTGAGATCTCCATGACAAATATGACCAGCATAGAGTTTGAAGCCACATTTGCTCTGCAGGAAGCTATACAACTCACTGAGTTTAGGTCAACTATTTGTTTTCCAGAGGAGAGTAGAACGGGAAAATGTAATTCTAGTAGGTCTGACAGTTCTCAAGAATATCTTACAAATTCTGCAAGTTCTCTAGAACCGAAGACCTGAACTGACAGGTCTTCAGTCAGTATATGAGATACTCAGAAATAGGATTCACTTTCTTATTTGAAATTAGACAGACTTCGTGTTTCAAAATATCTGAGATTATACTTGCTGACTAGAACTTCCCTGTATGTCAGAAATGATGCATGGATTTTTTTTTTGTAGTTGTAGTAGTAGAAGTAGGATTAAGTTACATTATTTTTACTTACAGCATGCTTTAAAAATATATCCTTTCATATATTTGTTAAAGTGTTTTGTCTTAACTTTTCTGGCAGAGCTTGGGAAGTCTATAATATTTCTTCTTTACAAATCACTGTACCATTAATGTCTTCCTAGTGAAAAGAGCAAACTCATTTTATATCAAATTATATTATAGATGGATGTATGTTTATGAATACAATTTACTGTGGGAAAAACTCTGTAAAGAGTGACATAGTAGTGAAATCGGAAAGCTTGAACTAGTGTTTTATATGTTCACAACTGTGCTTATAACCTCTTTGTATGTTTTTGAAATGCAGAACTAGCTTCTGGTCAGACAGAAAAAAATAATTCTTGAAAATTCTTAAGTCTCAATCTCGTTGAAATAATAAAGTATATTTCAACTTTTCTGTACTAGGACTTACCAAACCTTTACAAGCTGTGTTTCTGCTCAGGATAAAAATAACGAATCCTGTTCCCTTAAGCTTCTAGAATAGAAGGAATGATTAAATTTGGTGGGAAAAGAAATCTTGCAGTTATGTTCTATTTATAAATTTCAGGGTCAAAAAAGGGAAATTTACAGTGAAGAACAATCTGAAAACTGAGATTGTGTTAGTTTCACAGTGTTAATACATTTAAAATAAAATGCATTGTTAGCGTTCTGGGTCTTCTGGAATAATTTCCTATTTCTTAGCTGAGTGCTTTAAAGGCAGAATGCTCAAAAATAATCTAGTCAGTCATGATGTCACTATGGTATTAATGCGTGTCCCAAATGTCAGGGATGTTTTATGTTTCCATATGCAGGAGTCTCTTAATTTGGAAATCTCTACTGAAGTGGGATCAAATCTCAAATGTTCCCCCACTGAATTTCTCCCTGATATACTTTCAGCTTCACAGTAGGACGTGTGGTCACAGTTGATCCTTCTGAGTAGAACAGTGTCAGTAGATCTCTTCTGAGTCTGTTCTGCGCAAAAGTTATATATGTAATTGTCTTTTTTGAATTCTTAAATATACTCCTTTTCTTTGGCACTTCACGGCCTGGGGTGTTTTAATGTCATTTCTTTGGAAATGTATGTGTTTTTAAATACATCTTTGTTTGCAGTATTTTTACAGTAAGACGTTCAGGTTGCATGCATAGAGTGAACTAAAAATTAAGCATTAGGTGTCTCTCTGGTATTAACAACTATATACGTACCTATGTGCTTTTTTACTTTTGGCTAGTTAACTTGCATTATTTACTTTTACATGGTTACTTTTTACATAGTTACTTTTTCCTCTACTAAAAGTAATTGTTCAGACTGAATCTGAGACCTCTTGTCAAGTTCTACGGGAAACAGAAGCTTTACATTGAAAACAAAACAAGCTCTGAAGTCCAACAGCACAGAAAGGAGGAAAGAATTAAATACTTGTCAGTTTTGCTTGAAGGTGGGAATGGTGCATACTCTGAAGATGATAGAAATCTTCTTGTTTCCAATTGTGGAGAAAGTCACAATAGAGACTGTTTTAAAAATGTGCATGGCTTCATTTGATGTAGCCTAGACAGTTGAATAGAAAATATTTTTTTATTTCAAGAAACAACTTTTTTCATTGTTTTTGTCCTCTTCCCATTGATCTCTCTCTGGGGCATGTGCTTGCTTGCTTGCTTGTTTGTTTTAGTATCATGTCGATTGTTTCTCTTCCTCCCTCTCCTCTTTGCAGTAGTAACAGCTTTCAAGTCATAGGGCTGAAGTGCTGTTTTTTCCCCAGGATCTTTCTTGACAGTTTCTTACCAAGGTTTTTAGGAAAAAAATCTCTTTATTTCTCAAAAATTTGCCGTTTCTGAAGCATCTAACTTTAAATTATTTTTTTCCCCCCAGCAATTGATAGTTCCTCCACTACAAGCAGTGCCTCTCCTGTGCTGAACAATTACGATGCCCTGGAAGGAGGTGGCTATCCAGGTAAGCAGTTTATTACATATTCATTATGAAGATTTTTGTTTAAAGACTTACCTATTTAGTGTTTATGATTTTCTTCTATTCTGACTGCTGTTTATTGTTAATTAACAAGTAGGTGGAAGGAAATGCCTATGAAAAGTGTGGAGGCAATCATCAGAGAGAACGATGGCGTTTTTAATTACTCTGCACAGTTTTTACACTGAAGTTGAAGTAACCATTTAGTAAAACTTCCCTGCATCATAAGTCATACTTTCCATTGCAATATTGAGTAATGCTGAAATTATGCTCCGTGTGAAAGCAGGCATCTTTCTCTAGGTTACACTGTATGCCTGATTGTGTTGACATTACTAACTGGTAATAGTTGACACGCCATTAAAGTTTTGTGACATCAAGGATATTAGCTTGCATGCATGCTTGGATAAGGTTATTCTTTCTTTAAATAATTTTAAAAAAAAATCTGCTATTTTGTTTATTTTTATCTCTAAAAACAGCAGGAGTGCCAGGTTTGTTCTAAAAACCTGCTAGCAGGCTACCTCAATCCTGAAGTTTGTGGAGCTGCCATATGAGAGCAGGTGGAGAAGATGCTGTTCAGTATAGTTAAAAATAATAATTGGATGAATTTGGGGTCCTCCCCTTCTATCTGTTTTACATTGCTCTAGCATCTGAGAATGTCACAGTAGTTTGCTTAGTTTGATGGGTTTCTGTGTAAAGTGAAATGTCAAGTAAAAAGCTGATATTGCTGTCCACATAGGGTCTAGCTTATACACTGCAGCTAGAGGCATGTGGATAGCAGAGGCATGGCTGCAGGATTATGAATTCTGATTTCTCAGTTAATAAATAACCATTTTGGTTCTCCTGAAGGCATGAAGAGTAACAGAATCAAGTTTAAATTTGTTCAATCTGTTGATTTTTTTTATTTTTTTTTTTATTTTTTTATAAGATAGCATTTTGTTAGTAGCTACATAGATCTATGGTCATCTTCCTATGTGTACCTTCTTTAACAGCATAATTGCAGTAATTGCTAATTTATTTGGTCAGTGCAGATACACAACTTGATGGATAATGCAAAAACTTAAAATGGAAGTATTGTTTGTTACACATCTAGGATTTGACATTTAAATTAAAAAAGAAATAATAAGTGAATTCAATACCTGTGTGGTTTCTTCTGTTCTTCTAGAGACGCGTTCTGTGACCAGCAGCCCAGTTCCTGCTCCATCGGCCCTGCAAACACCAAAAGCTTCTAAGCCCTTTGGTTATGGATATCCCACACTGCAGCCTGGCTACCAAAATGCAGCGCCTCCTACTCCTGTGCAGCCCAGTAATCCAGGACACCATCTTGGGTTTCAGCACTATACACAGGTTTGTATTTTTAAAAGTTACTTCATGAAGTAACTGCATGGGAAAAGTGTTTTCTACAGGATTTTTTTTGTTGTTGTTTCCATATTGTGTTTTTTTTATAATTTCTGAGACAAAAATGTTAACTGTGATATCGATGTCTAGTTCTGGATCCTAACTTCTTATTAGAAGGTTTTTGAGTTAAAATTTTGAGTGTATCTCCAAAAAGTTAGGCTTAACAATTTTGCTTTACCACTTATTACCAGCATCCATGTTTGGTGTTTTAAAGAGCTGTAGTTTATTGATAGGAAACCATGAAGAAACACAATGAAGTACTTGATCGGCAAAAATATGCTGGGGAGGGACTCTTCATTAGGGACTATAGTGATAGGACTAGGGGTAATGGGTTCAAACTTAGACAGGGGAAGTTCAGGTTAGATCTAAGGAAGAAGTTCTTCACAGTGAGGGTGGTGAGGCACTGGAATGGGTTGCCAAGGAAGTTGCAAATGCTCCATCCCTGGCAGTGTTCAAGGCCAGGTTGGACAGAGCCTTGTGTGACATGGTTTAGTGCGAGGTGTCCCTGCCCATGGCAGGGGGTTGGAACTAGATGATCTTAAGGTCATTTTCAACCCTAACTGTTCTATGATTCTATGATCAGAGCACTACTATGAGCTATGATCTCCAGCATTAAATCACCTTACAAGCAAAGCATGGCATAGGGTCCAGAGGAAAGAGCTCTGTAGAGCCTGTGCTATGTGTGTGGTGCACCTGGCTGCCTCTGTCCATTCTTTTTCCTGGTAAAGAGAGGACCAAACACTCAAGAAGTACAGTCAACTGGCTCTGGATGCACATGTGAGTCACGCAAGAGCAGTGAAAATCTGACAAAGAGGCAGATAAGGAGGCAAAATACAAACACAGAAGCAGCGCAGAGAAGTTAGACTTTTCAGGAGTACAAAGTAAAAGAAAAAACCCAATAATTCCAGGTTGCAGCAAGTGAAATTCTGGTTGGACATTTAAAGAGAAAATTCTTCAGAGTAGGAGTGGGGAACAGATTGTGCTGTGAAATCATCAATCCTTAGATATTTTCGAAACTCAGCTGGACAAGGCTATGAACATGATCAAACTTTGAAGTTAGCCTTGCTTGAGCTGTGCATTGGACTACCAGACCTCAAAGCTGCCTTCCAAACTAACCTTTTCTCCTCTTTTGTAGTGTTTTAGTTTAAAAATGAATATATTTTTGAAGTTTTTGTAACTTTTTGAAGGGGGTGGGGGGAAATTGTCAACTTTCTGGTAACTTGTTTTGTTATGCTTGGAAAGCTTGAAATTTTATGTGTGACCTCCAGTGTTGATTTGTATAATGAATTTGAATTTTGTCCAATTATACATATTTGGGTGTTATGTTAATTTTGTCTTAGCGGGTTTTTTAAATTTCTACCGTACAGCTTTTCTCTTGTTTGGGTATGTTACTAATTACTGCTGTATCTTTTTTAGTACATGTCTGGAAGAATTGGGATTACAGGAAGATTTAAGGTTGTTATTTAAACATGACTGTGTGTTTACCCATTTGCCATGCTCTTACTTCTTTTCAGCAATATCCAGGCGTGAACCAGCTGTCCTCTTCTGTAGGAGGGTTAAGTCTACAGCATAGTCAGCAGCCAGAAAGCTTGAGACCAGTAAACCTTACACAAGATAGAAATATTTTGCCTGTATCTTCAGTTCCAGCACCTGTGCCTAACTTGAATTCTGATCTTAGGAAATTAAACTGCAGTCCAGAGTAAGTATACTGTGTCTAGAACAGCATTTTGCATTTTTCAGTGACTAATAATTATTCAAAGTCAAAAACATCTAAACTGACTCCTGACTTTAAATCTTTGTAATGAGCTAATATAACTCACTTGAAAATAAGTTTATCCGCCACATCCTTATGTAAAGGTTGAAATAGTCCTGTCATCAGAATGCGGTGAGTGTGGCTCACTTATTACAACATCAGATCTGCTTAATCTTTGCTTTGTTTTATCCATGTAAAGAAAAAATCTATTAATAAACTGCTTATTGTCATGCAGTACATCTCATAGAATATTTTTATAATATTGTGTAGGACTTTTTTCCAGAAAATTATGATGATCATGTCTAAATAAACAGAATAAACTCTGAACACCTTTTACTGTGATAATTGTAATCATGATTACAATTATTCTTTCACCACTAATTAATATTAAGTAGTATTCCCAACTCAAGTGTACCTAGATAAATGGAAACTGCTGTCTCCCAAAAGATCTTAATTCTAATTCCAAAATAAATTTTATTTATTACTGCAGACTAACTCAGCTTACTACCCTAGTGACAGTGGATGGTCCCACCAGAAATGGAAATCAGAAAACTGAGTGTCTGAAAATGATTCTAAGATGTGGAACACTTTGGATAGCACTATTCGTGCATTGGGATTTTTTTTTTAGTGCTCTTAATGTAGCTTTAAGTCTACCTCCCACTTTATATACACTAAAGGAAAGATTTTTACTTTCTCGATATTTGAGATACTTTTATACTGTTTTCTTTTATTAATACTATTTTCTGAGAACTAGTAAATACTGTATTCCTTTTTTAGTTCCTTCACCTAAAAAAAATCTTTATAATTAGTAAAGAATACAGCATTTTACATAGAGTGTTGTATCTAAAGCAGTTTTACCTCCTTATTGCAAGTTTAATATACCTGCATTGCTGAACTACTAAACTGGGGAGCAGGGGAGTATATTTTTCTTTTGTTTCTTTAGGAGGCATCTTCTAATCTCTTTGATGCATTAGTTTTATTTATTAAAGCAGCTTTGTAAAACAGGAGTTTTTAGATTTTAAAATTCTTTAAGATCAGGTGTTAACACAATGTTTTTAACATCTTTTAAAATTCCATTTTCAACATAATATTTTTCTTTGCTTTCAGTTCATTTCGATGTACATTGACAAATATTCCACAGACGCAGGCTTTGTTAAACAAAGCTAAACTTCCTTTAGGTTTGTTACTACATCCCTTCAGAGACCTAACGGTACAGTAGCTTACTTTTTCTTTTTTTAATATAGGTACTTAATATACCTTATTTTAATTCATGAGGGAAAGGCTTTGGACAAGCCCTTCAAAATTTTTTCTTATTCTTGGAAATCCTTGCTTCTCAGTAGTTCTCTGAATTACTACCCTGTGTTGGGCTCAAAACTGTCAGATAGCTCTCAAAAATGTATTTACATTGGAGACAAGTGCTCATGTTGAATGTGTTATTGGCATGATAGATGCTGTCAAGAGAAGATAAACACAATGCAAGATTGTTCGTAACTGTTAAGCAGCCTTTCTCCATTTGATTTATTTGTATTTATGTGAAAAGGTAAATAACTGTCTGGTATGACTTCTTTTCATAAGATGTGTGCTCTTTGCATAAGGTTTGCTCTGTCATGTTTAATCACACAAAGTTGCTCTGTCTCTCATAATTCCTGTTACTATAGTAACTGTGTCATTGTAACTGTGTAATTTAAAGTAACTTCATTAAAGATCTTATTACAACTTTTGATTTGTGTGATTGGATTAAGACAAATAAATGTTATTTCTCCTGATTTGAATGGGGAGGTTATTTTTAATGGACATCATAATTACTCTAAGAAAATTAGCTAAAAAAGATAAAGATGATAGAATATCTAGTCTTGTGAAGCTTTTATGCACTCTACTGTACAGTAATGTTTTCCATAAAATGTATAGTATACCTTTGTTACAGTTTTCCATTGTTTCTTTTTAGCAATTACCAGTAATAACCTCAAGTACAATAGTGAGATGCAGATCCTGCAGGACATATATCAACCCTTTTGTTTCTTTCATTGATCAAAGGAGGTGGAAGTGCAATCTGTGCTATAGAGTTAATGATGGTGAGTTTTTGTAGCAGGAGAAGCTTGCATTAATAAAATCTCTTTCAAGTATTTGCATCATATCAGTCCATGGGATGCTTTGGATTAAAATGTAGATTAAAATGACAGTGTTCCTAAGGTGGGTTTTGGTTTTGTTTTTTTTAAAAAGCTCTGGATCATAAGTCAAATGTGCTGTGTATTTTCTGAAGCAAAAGGTTGTTTCGCAGCTTTCTGGGAGACAAAATGTAATCATATTATCCTGATTATAATAGAATCAACTTGCTCCATTGACTGCTGTTGCAATAAAAAATTGAAACATGATGACAGCTGATACTGTGATCCAGGCCAGAGGTTATGCAAAACAGTACAAGTTCAAGCTTGTTGTTACTGTGAAATGCCCTATTTGCATTGGTGTTTTACAGTTGGGGAAATACTGTTGTTTGAAATAGGCTTCTTTTGTTTCCAGTTATTTAACTTTGCTGTTGCTTAAGATACTTGAAAAGTTCCTTTGTTTTATGTATCCTTAATGTAATTCTTCTTCTGCTGTTAGTGATAATTGAAATACATCTGCATTAGTTTCCCTTCCCTTTGGCTGCCATAATGTTTTTCTATTTGCTGACAAATATATAAACTTTTTTGAAAAAATAAAACCAACATTTTTTGTTGTTTATAGTTCCTGAAGAATTTATGTATAATCCTCTGACACGATCTTATGGAGAGCCTCACAAACGGCCAGAGGTCCAAAATTCTACAGTGGAATTCATTGCTTCCTCAGACTATATGGTAATAAAGTTTTCATGCTAGCTTCAATACCAATTGCACGTTAATATAAGTGCATTTGAAATCCATGTTGCATTCTGCTCCAGTGGTGTGTATTAATTTTCCTGTGAAGGTCCTCTTAACACCATATAATAGTTGAAATACTTATTTTGAGGTTTAGTAAATGTAGATAGTTAGAAGCAATTGCAATTGTGTGTAGTTCTCCAGTGTAGTTTAATGTAGCATTAGTCTGGTTTGAGTTTCATGCAATGCAGGTTTTGGATTTCTCCCTCATTTTGAAGTTTTGAAAGACAAATGGAGTAACAAGGGAATTATGTTGGGTTCAAATTTTTTATTGGCAATTGTGATAGAAATGATTCTAACTAGGAGTCAGTCTACAATTGCTGTGATACTAGTCTTGCCTCAAAAAAGATAAACAAGGCCTGAGGAAAGGCTCTGTTCATAATGACATTAATAACAACAGCAGAACTAAATTGATTTCTTGTCTTTGAATTGAAATACTGTGGCCAAGACATTTGGCAATGAATAAATACGGCTTCTTACATGGTTGGGAAAAGGATGAAGGTAGAATATTTTAATTCCTCTTAATGGGTTGCATTGTGCACATACAGAAAGAACAATTGTGTTTTGAAGAGTAAATTCCATATCTGGTATCAAAGAGTCATGTTTGAGTTGAGTGTTGGAAGGGGAGACTAAAATACCAAGTTTCTGTTTGGAAGCATAGCATCGTATGCTTATTACAAATGGAAACAACTGAGTACTGGAAATTGTGGTTAAGTCTATCCACGTCTAGTCTTCTAGTTAGTAAAACAGTTTTACTACATAATGTATACCTTGCTTTTTTCTAAGTATTCCCTTTTCCCACTTCCCTTTCTAATGACTAATCACTTTTAACATTTCTTTAAATATGATTTTTGAACTTTTTTTTTTATTTTTACTTTTTTTACTTTGTAGCTTCGTCCTCCTCAGCCTGCGGTATATTTATTTGTTTTAGATGTGTCTCATAATGCAGTGGAGGCTGGATATTTGACAATAGTCTGCCAGTCATTGCTGGAAAACCTAGACAAGTAAGAATATAAATAACCTTTTCAAATTAACTAACATGTTATTATAAACAATACTTACATAAAGTTTTGTAGAAAACTTGCGTATAGTGTTTATATATTCTGTCCTTAGAGGACAGTTCTGTTGCCTGAGATTCTGATATGCAACTTGTATGTCTAAAACCCAAACAGCTGTTGAAGCAATTTACATGATGAAAGCTTTCTTCCCTGAATGTGGTTAAAGGTGGATCTGCAAATAATTTACTTATTAAATGCAAAGTATATGTAGCTGTAAATTCTAGCAACATGTTGATTGTACAAATATCTATAAGCAGCACTCT